AAACAGCATTTGAAGTGGTGTCATCATTCTGGGAGGCATGCAGTTACAAGTGGATATTCTTTGAGGTTGTGCCCAGTATTTAAAAGAGATTTGGGAGCTAACTACAATTTCTAAAACTGACCAAGAATATCCAGAATCAAAAGTGTGTAGATTTTGCATACACATTGAGTAGAAAGGTTGGATTTACAAAGAAATAATACAAGTAAGTATGCCAGGGGTTTGATTTTTTTTTTCATATAAAGCCTAGTGTCTTGCCCATTATTATTTATTTTGATTTTAGAAGTTTCTGGAGAAATATGGCTATTTTGAGTCTGTACACCAAGTGAGGGACCCAGAAGGATTCTCAGATGCCATAAAGTAAGTCTGTGACTCTCATCCTCTCCTTGCTGGTTTGAATTGAATTGGAGATACAACTTCCCAGCCTTCCATCTCTGTTTAATATCTAGTTGATCCCTAACTCCCATGCCTTCTTATGCAGTCTGTTGCTAGCTTAGAGCATGCAGCTGGCCAGCTTTTAATGACAATGGGTTCTGCCCAGTGATTTCCCTTGTATGGGCTTAGTTTCTTATGTAGAATGACCAATGCAGCAGTTTTGGCCCAGCTGGTAGATTCCTCAAATGCCAATGCTGCCATCTGGACTCAGGCCACCTTCCACTACTCTGTCTGGGTTGCTCTCTTTCTTAAATCTTTTATGTCCTTTCCCTGCTGCCAGCTTCAAGTTTTGTAGGGTTATAGTGGCAAATGCTTAAAAATGGCGTGGTGGCTTAGTGGTAAAGATGCTCACCTCCATTTGGAAGGTTGAGAGTTCAATCCAACATGGCGGCAGATATTTCTCTCCTATGGTGCAAAGAAAAAAATATCTGTTGTGAACTCTACTTAGGCATCAAGAAGTGTATTCAGTCAGTAAACGCTCAGTTCTACCCAGTCGTGACTCTACCCCTAATAGAGACTACAGGGTCACAAAAAGAGGAATTTATATTGGGAAATGCTTTTGTGTTTAAAAACCAAGACCTAAATCAGTGTTTCTCTTTTTGTTTTTTTACTTAAAAATTTATATAGCCACCCATCTTTTAACCAGTTCTGGGTGTCTCCCAATCAATTTGGCAACTTTAACATTGTGGACTTCAATTCTCAGAATTCCTCACCCAGCCATGAAATCTGCACATCTTCAAGTTGCTGAGGTTGAGAAATACTGGCTTAAACAAAGGAATATTGTGCAACTTCCATCCCACTTCCTTTACTTTTACAGGGAATTTCAATGGATTTCTCACCTGCCCCTCAGTGGCACCCTGGATGCCGTCACTCTCCATCGCATGAGTCTCCCTCGCTGTGGCGTCAATGATGCGGAGAGCCACACGGCGTGGAAGGAGCGCATGGATGCGGTCTTCTCAGGAGGGAAAGCCAGGAAGAGTCGCAGGAAACGGTACTTGCATCAGAGTAAGTCTGCTTGAATTTGGAAATACTGTATGTATCCTTCTTCTGCACCAGGTTGTAATTTCCAACCATTGTTTTAAGGTGGGAACTCACAACTCCAAGGTGGTGTCCAGCAGCCTAGTGGAGTTTCTGAGCATCTACTCTATGGCTAGTACAGATCTGGGCACAAGAGACCTTTGGAAACTCTCTACTCAATTTCTGGGAAGAATAATTGGATGGGTAATTTCTCCAAGGGAAGCTGACTTTCTCCGATGGTCTTTCAAGGAGAGGGCTCCTCCTTAGCAGCAATACTCCTGAAGAAGTCCTGTGGAAAGAGTTCCCTCCTGAGGTCTTCTCTTAATGTTCAGTGGAAATGTGGGACACCTGGGAGGGTTGCAGACCAAAGAAGAGTTGACTGTAGCAGTTGTAATAACAATAGCATTTAGACTTATATACTGCCCCAAAGTGCTTTACAGCATTCTATGGGCAGTTTATAATGTAGAAACATTGTTTGCATACTGCCCCCAACAATCTGGGTCCTTGTTTTACTGACCTCGGAAGGATGGAAGACTGAGTTAACCTTAAGCCCTGTCAGGATCGAACTCCAGGCTGTGGACAGAGTTTGCTTGCATATTGCACTTTAACCACTTGGCCACATCAGTGTAGAATGAAAGATTGTCATATGCGCATGCATACATAATACATACACAATAGAATTCTTGGCTACATCCTAATTAAGTGTGCCACCCACTAGAAATTTTTTTCTTTATAAAGCAAATGTTCTTTCATCAGACTGAATAAGAATGAATAGAGGAAAATACAATAGATGTTCTCTATCTGCACTTAGAAAAGCATGGAGGCCAATTTCCCAGATACCACCATAGTTCAGGAAGAAATTCAGCAAGAGACCTGGACACCTAGTCTTCCAAAGCACAGTCACCTAGAGAAAAGACTATTAGGAGGGATAATTAGGATAACTTCCAGTCTCTCTTTCCTTTTTATTTATTCACTAGCTGTACCCGGCCACGCGTTGCTATGGCTCAGTCTGGTAAAAGCGTGTGCTGCTTTTACGTCCAACAGATGGTGCTGTTTTTCAAAAAAAGCATGTTTTTACCTGTCACAGGTGTGACATCTATATAATATAGGTATATAAAAACACGCGCGTATTCGAATGCAACGTTGTGTCAAAATTTCAACGCAATCGGTGAAGAACTTTCGGAGATTTAAGAATTTGAACAAACTAACATTTACATTTTTATTTATATAGATTTATTCACTTATAAAATGTATATGACTGCCCATCTCATATCAAGTGACTCTGGGTGGCATACAGCAAAAAAAAAAAAGTATAAAAAAAATAAACATGTCAAACACAGTTATATTAAAAAAAGAAAAACCCGCACTCAAGAGATTTAATCAGCAAAAAATGTCTCCTTGCTGGAATCCTTCCAGAAAACTAAAAAAAAAAAAATAGTGCTGGCTCACT